ACCAATCATGCAATGCCGGTACAATTATATTTGTTTACGGTTTTGATTCGGTGGGACGAGACCAATAAACCACATCGTATAACTCAACTCGCGAGCCTAGCCTTTATGGGTTTAGAATAGTGAGGGCTTTACTAATAAACATGACTCATGGTTACCAAGATACCCAGGTGGAGTACTGTTGCTACCAGGAACAGCGGACAAGCGCAGTTAATAGCATACATGTGTTAATCAGTGTATATACCTTATGTTTTCCGCGTATTTAAACTATTCTGATGTATTTGAACAACACTATCTACATCACCATATGTCTACATTTATAAGTTTACATTGTATTTCGTGTCAACACAGCACCTGCTAAATTGCATGAATTATGGTGAGTATGAATTAAATGTTAAATTAACGCGTGAAAATGCATCACATGAGAAACAAAAATATATAAGTGCAATTGTGTCTCAATTAACATAAAAAGTATATCAATCAACGAACAAACAAATGTTTGAATTAATTAACACAGAATCATAATTACATTATAGTCATATTTTCATGATGGTGATCTCCATATATGTAAATACCTGTCTGTATTATTATATGGTAAAGTCACTGAATAGTATTATTTGGTCAAGTCACTGAATGGTATATTTTGGTCAAGTCACTGAATGGTATATTTTGGTCAAGTCACTGAATGGTATATTTTGGTCAAGTCACTGAATAGTATTATTTGGTCAAGTCATTGAATGGTATTATTTGGTCAAGTCACTGAATGGCATATTTTGTCAAGTCACTGAATAGTATTATTTGGTCAAGTCACTGAATGGTATATTTTGGTCAAGTCACTGAATAGTATTATTTGGTCAAGTCATTGAATGGTATTATTTGGTCAAGTCACTGAATGACATATTTTGTCAAGTCACTGAATAGTATTATTTGGTCAAGTCACTGAATGGCATATTTTGTCAAGTCACTGAATAGTATTATTTGGTCAAGTCACTGAATATAATTATTTGGTCAAGTCACTGAATAGTATTATTTGGTCAAGTCATTGAATGGTATTATTTGGTCAAGTCACTGAATGGCATATTTTGTCAAGTCACTGAATAGTATTAATTGGTCAAGTCACTGAATAGTATTATTTGGTCAAGTCACTGAATAGTATTATTTGGTCATGTCACTGATTGGTATTATTTGGTCAAGTCACTGAATGGTATATTTTGGTCAAGTCACTGAATAGTATATTTTGGTCAAGTCACTGAATAGTATTTTTTGGTCAAGTCACTGAATAGTATTATTTGGTCATGTCACTGATTGGTATTATTTGGTCAAGTCACTGAATGGTATATTTTGGTCAAGTCACTGAATAGTATATTTTGGTCAAGTCACTGAATAGTATTTTTTGGTCAAGTCACTGAATAGTATTATTTGGTCATGTCACTGAATGGCATATTTTGTCAAGTCACTGAATAGTATTATTTGGTCAAGTCACTGAATAGTAGTATTTGGTCAAGTCACTGAATATAATTATTTGATCAAGTCACTGAATAGTATTATTTGATTAAGTCACTGTATAGCATTTTTGTCAAGTCACTGAATAGTAGTATTTGGTCAAGTCACTGAATATAATTATTTGATCAAGTCACTGAATAGTATTATTTAATTAAGTCACTGTATAGCATTTTGGTCAAATCACTGAATAGAAGTGTTTGGTCAAGTCACTGAATATAATTATTTGGTCAAGTCACTGAATAGTATTATTTGGTCAAGTCACTGAATGGTATATCTTGGTCAAGTCACTGAATAGTATTATTTGATCAAGTCACTGAATAGTATTATTTGATCAAGTCACTGAATATAATTATTTGATCAAGTCACTGAATAGTATTATTTGGTCAAGTCACTGAATAGTATTATTTGATCAAGTCACTGAATAGTATTATTTGGTCAAGTTACTGAATAGTATTATTTGGTCAAGTCACTGTATAGCATTTTGGTCAAATCACTGAATAGTAGTATTTGGTCAAGTCACTGAATATAATTATTTGATCAAGTCACTGAATAGTATTATTTGATTAAGTCACTGTATATCATTTTGGTCAAATCACTGAATAGTAGTATTTGGTCAAGTCACTGAATATAATTATTTGATCAAGTCACTGAATAGTATTATTTAATTAAGTCACTGTATAGCATTTTGGTCAAATCACTGAATAGTATTATTTGGTCAAGTCACTGAATATAATTATTTGATCAAGTCACTGAAAAGTATTATTTGGTCAAATCACTGAATAGTATTATTTGATCAAGTCACTGAATGGTATATCTTGGTCAAGTCACTGAATAGTATTATTTGGTCGAGTCACTGAATGACATATTTTGGACAAGTCACTGAATAGTATTATTTGGTCAAGTCACTGTATAGCATTTTGGTAAAGTCACTGAATAGTATTATTTGGTCAAGTCACTGAATATAATTATTTGATCAAGTCACTGAAAAGTATTATTTGGTCAAGTCACTGAATAGTATTATTTGGTCAAGTCACTGAATGGTATATCTTGGTCAAGTCACTGAATAGTATTATTTGGTCAAGTCACTGAATATAATTATTTGATCAAGTCACTGAAAAGTATTATTTGGTCAAGTCACTGAATAGTATTATTTGGTCAAGTCACTGAAAAGTATTATTTGGTCAAGTCACTGAATAGTATTATTTGGTCAAGTCACTGAATGGTATATCTTGGTCAAGTCACTGAATAGTATTATTTGGTCGAGTCACTGAATGACATATGTTGGACAAGTCACTGAATAGTATTATTTGGTCAAGTCACTGATTGGTATTATTTGGTCAAGTCACTGATTGGTATATTTTGGTCAAGTCACTGAATAGTATTATTTCCTCAAGTCACTGATTGGTATTATTTGGTCAAGTCACTGAATGGTATATTTTGGACAAGTCACTGAATAGTATTATTTGGTCAAGTCACTGAATAGTATTATTTGGTCAAGTCACTGAATAGTATTATTTGGTCATGTCACTGATTGGTATTATTTGGTCAAGTCACTGAATGGTATATTTTGGTCAAGTCACTGAATAGTATATTTTGGTCAAGTCACTGAATAGTATTTTTTGGTCAAGTCACTGAATAGTATTATTTGGTCAAGTCACTGAATGGCATATTTTGTCAAGTCACTGAATAGGATTATTTGGTCAAGTCACTTAATAGTATTATTTAGTCAAGTCACTGATTAGTATTATTTGGTCAAGTCACTGAATAGTATTATTTGATCAAGTCACTGAATAGTATTATTTGATTAAGTCACTGTATAGCATTTTGGTCAAGTCACTGAATAGTAGTATTTGGTCAAGTCACTGAATATAATTATTTGATCAAGTCACTGAATAGTATTATTTAATTAAGTCACTGTATAGAATTTTGGTCAAATCACTGAATAGTAGTATTTGGTCAAGTCACTGAATATAATTATTTGATCAAGTCACTGAATAGTATTATTTGGTCAAGTCACTGAATAGTAGTATTTGGTCAAGTCACTGAATATAATTATTTGATCAAGTCACTGAATAGTATTATTTGGTCAAGTCACTGATTGGTATTATTTGGTCAAGTCACTGAATAGTATATTTTGGTCAAGTCACTGAATAGTATTTTTTGGTCAAGTCACTGAATAGTATATTTTGTCAAGTCACTGAATAATATTATTTGGTCAAGTCACTGAATATAATTATTTGATCAAGTCACTGATTGGTATTATTTGGTCAAATCACTGTATAGCATTTTGGTCAAGTCACTGAAAAGTATTATTTGGTCAAGTCACTGAATGGTATTATTTGGTCAAGTCACTGTATAGCATTTTGGTCAAGTCACTGAATAGTAGTATTTGGTCAAGTCACTGAATATAATTATTTGATCAAGTCACTGAATAGTATTATTTGATTAAGTCACTGTATAGCATTTTGGTCAAGTCACTGAATAGTATTATTTGGTAAAGTCACTGTATAGCATTTTGGTCAAGTCACTGAATCGTATTATTTGGTAAAGTCACTGTATAGCATTTTGGTCAAGTCACTGAATAGTAGTATTTGGTCAAGTCACTGAATATAATTATTTGATCAAATCACTGAATAGTATTATTTGATTAAGTCACTGTATAGCATTTTGGTCAAGTCACTGAAAAGTATTATTTGGTCAAGTCACTGAATATAATTATTTTGTCAAGTCACTGAATAGTATATTTGGTCAAGTCACTGAATTGTATTATTTGGTCAAGTCACTGAATAGTAGTATTTGGTCAAGTCACTGAATATAATTATTTGATCAAGTCACTGAATAGTATTATTTAATTAAGTCACTGTATAGCATTTTGGTCAAGTCACTGAATAGTAGTATTTGGTCAAGTCACTGAATATAATTATTTGATCAAGTCACTGAATAGCATTATTTGGTCAAGTCACTGAATAGTATTATTTGGTCAAGTCACTGAATAGTATTATTTGATCAAGTCACTGATTGGTATTATTTGGTAAAGTCACTGTATAGCATTTTGGTCAAGTCACTGAATAGTATTATTTGGTCAAGTCACTGAATAGTATTATTTTGGCAAGTCACTGAATGGTATATTTTGGTCAAGACACTGAATAGTATCTTTTGGTCAAGACACTGAATGGCATATTTTTGTCAAGTCACTGAATAGTATTATTTGGTCAAGTCACTGAATGGTATATTTTGGTCAAGTCACTGAATGGTATATTTTGGTCAAGTCACTGAATAGTATTATTTGGTCAAGACACTGAATGGCATATTTTTGTCAAGTCACTGAATGGTATCTTTTGGTCAAGACACTGAATAGTATCTTTTGGTCAAGACACTGAATGGCATATTTTTGTCAAGTCACTGAATGGTATCTTTTGGTCAAGACACTGAATGGCATATTTTTGTCAAGTCACTGAATGGTATATTTTCGTCATATATTTTTCCTGCAACGTAATTACCTTTGTTTTGATTGCCTTGCATTTCTTCTTATACACTGATGGCCTGTGCCAGATGTGTTCCACCACAACCGTGATGAAAGATAAAGCTGCTCCCATCATTAGAATATAGAAAACACCAGCTACAGTCTCCAGTCCTATATCGCTTGTATCCCTACTGCCTGTATTGTCATCTTCAGGACAAATACTTTCTCTTTCAAACCATTTCTTTTTCAATTCTTCCAATTTCCCTGTTTCTTGCATTCGGAGAATACTGCATCAAAATCAACAAATGATGTATTCAGATTTATATTTATGCCTGTACCTAAATTTGCTCCACTCAGATGCATACCTGGCTTTATATGTGTATATGTGATGTTATAGAGTCAGCTTTCGCATGTTTATCTAGTTAATAGTCATCTCGTCAAGCTACACGGGATCCCGACACTTATAAAGTAAATCCTATTCAAAATGCATGGATGCTGTAAACCCGATGATATAACAACATGGACGTAATTACGATGCCTCGACAACGATTTAAAACATAGGAAGATGACATACAATAGGTTGTTTTCCGATATGTAATATGCAATATGTAATATGTCTCCCTAAATAAGCAACTGGTAATAAGTGTTTTTGAAGCAGTTTCGTAACAAGTCTGCTTAAAGAGCAAAGCGCTTTGCCAGGATATTGAGTGTCGGGTGTGTGTGTTTATGATGTTGTAATCTACCTGTACTTATTTACGATAACAAATACCGCTGTCTAGTGTCAGTGTTTAATTCGTGTACATACATGAAATTTGTGCTATTAACATACCGTTGTTTATATTGTATCAATTACGTATCTTCAAACAAATGCCCATTCTGCAACATTATTAATTCAGTTTTTCAAATATTATTCGTTCAAAGAGTGTGAAAAATGGATAAAATAAATGTATGTCTGAGGTTACCTCAAGGATATTTGATCTCTATATTCAGCTCCTATTGGCGCAGCAATGCCGTATCCCTTCAAATTAAATGGCTTCCCAACTGTCATTACATCACACTCAGTTTGTTTAATGTATTCCAATATTGGAGCATCCCAAAAGAAAGCATACGATTCTTCTTTAACTCTCCTGTACCCAGCATCGGCATTAGGAACCACGGTGATGGGTTTACATGGGTCATATAATTCCACATTCTCTCATAGATCCCAACAGTCGATCTTTTCTTGAAGAATGTTTGTAAACTGCTATCTTCGATAGTTCCATAGATAACTTTCGTCTGATATGCCAAGTCTTCTAGTGATTGTATAGGATTTACCATTCGCGTCACAGTCAAGAATGCAGCTAGATTGGCTGTGTACGTTGCAATAACGATAAGAGCAAAGAACCACCAAAATGCACTCAAAATTCTCCCGGAGAGAGAAATTGGAGTTGTGTCCCCACCTATGAAAGAGTTAAACAAGCTTATTATTGCCCCGATTAAGAGTGATAATTGTTCAGAGGTTATGGGGAAGTTTCCACCAAATAAATGATTTTTAAAAGCTTGCCTGAACAGTGAGCCTTACAAATTCAATTTCGGAGAATCATAAGGTTTTAATACACATGCCATTTCAATTAGAGCGACGTAACAGCTAACGGTATCATCACAACCAATGGCACGTCATTTCTGAAAATTCATTCAATGTATTGTTTTTATATTATTATATAAGAGCCAGGCATAAAATAGTCAAATAGATAATTATATTATTCGGTAATCATACATTAATATTGACAAATCGGCTCACACCCGTGAACATGTATAATAATATGCACATACATATTTGAAAACATCCATTGTTTAAACCATTCGCACTAGGGAATACTACTTCAGAATATATATAAATATTAATATAGTTTCAGCAGACATAAATATAGAGCAATCACAGATACAATTTTATCAGAGATATGTGAGTTGGTACAAAATAAACGTTAGTGGCCAGACGTACCAAAGATTTAAGAAATGCACTTCATTAATTAACCATCTTATTATATATCACAAAAATGGATCGTTTTGTCCCATTAGAAAGTGACCCTGGTAAGCATCAAGCTGGAAGTGATATTTTCCCTTCCACCAATAGACACAGGTGAGCATTGTCTTTGTATTATTTTGTACCAGCACACATTCACTTCCATTAGGGTTTAGGTTGGTAATAAACAAGGTACATGCTTTCCATGGCCACCGAGAAACAGGCCCACGATTCTGTGCCCTTCAATTGGCTGTGAAAGGTGGACTTCAAAAAAATGAGAAAATATCACTCTCCAGCTGGATGCAAGCTAGTTTTGTCAAGATAAAATAATCGGATTTGTTTAATTAATTGCTTTTTTCCCATGTGTTTTCACAGTGAACTGTGTTGACAGTGCTACACTGAGGAATCTCTTCATCCTTTCAAATCTCAGCACATTATCTTCTCACAGAATCATCGGGTCCATTTCCCGGACTGGTCGGGGAAATAATGCGTATGAGACAAGTAGCTTAACACACATTTGTTACTTCAAAAGACAATAGTGGTTATTCGAGGTAGTAGTTTCATAGGAGTATAAAATAACCTCGATGGATAAGGAGTAAATACAGTGGAACCTCTACATATCCCGAATACTAAGACAAAGGAAATGAATGGATACTGAGGTAGTGGAGCTACATATAGACCCATTAGCGGAACTACGTGGCAATGACAGCACACAACTTGGGATCATGCAAAAACAAATACAAAAGGGGTTGTACTGTTGCCTTCTTGGCTTGGTCCGTTTGTTTTCCAAGGTGCAGCTATACAGGCCACATAGGTTGAATCGGGCAGAACACGTACGTTGTGATTTTATCGATTGGAAAAAAAATAAACATTTAGGTAATGTCAATACTATACATAAAATGAGTTAGTTGTAAATAAATGTTCCATTATGGTCATTGTGTTGCATCATGGGTAATTCTTAGCATCATCGGTAATACATTGCATCAGAGTTGCATATGAATACGGATGTGTTGGCTATCGGAATCGGTACCCCTTTTTAAAACAAAGATGAAATATATGCAATAGTTCATTGAATTAGTGTGTATTGGTTATAAGACAATATCATATGTTGTTTTCATTCCCATTTTAAGAGTCTAACAAGGTTTAACTGTATTAAGACATATAATTATCCCAACTTAAAGTAAATGCTCTATATTTGTCCACGATAAACCATACATCATAATCAGGTTTTAAATTATATAAACATTAATAAATATTACATGAACAATAATCAAATTGTTTCAGTATATTGGACAGATATTTATAGAAATTGCAAAAATAGCCTTGGGGCGATTGCAAGCCAGCCTAGAGAAAATGAAATGTCAAAACGGTCAGTCCCCGTAAAAGCGAAATATCGTTGCAAGCCGTGTAGACTGTTCAAATATCTTGGCTATACCGGTAAGACGACAGAGGAGAATGAAACACCATTTAAGGGAAAATACTCAGGCTGATCCCGTGTATTTAGGTTTATTCTATAACGTTATGTGCAAAATTTGTATGGGTTGCTGGTCAAATGCTATTCAACCAACCGTTAGCATTTTTGTTCATTAACGATTATTATAAACTATTCGCAAAACACATGTTGAATCTGCCACGAAAATGACTGATAGATTACAGTCAAAGATGTATATACAAGTCATTTTGTATATATTGCAATATTTTTGGTCACATCATAAACTATAGCATGCGTTACAAAATCTAATATGCAAAATCGTACATATACAATGTCTAAATAATCATAACCTTAATTGCCCTAATCTTGTTTTGACTAAATAAGTGTTAATAAATTCATTCGTTTATACAGATAAACATTGAAAGAATGTAAATAAATAACGAGTCATTATCAACGGAACGATATGAATGGGATATATTATAATTATTATGTAATTACTTGACGTAATCATGGTTTGAATAATGTTCATATATTACAATAAAACACAATCTGTGTACAAACTATACTCGACCACAATATTAAAACAAACACGTACCTTGTTGCATAAATGATGCAAAAGTAAACCATAAACTATTCTTCAGATCAAATTCTTCGCTCTGAGCTGGTTCCTCGGTGATTTTCACATTATGGTTACTGTAAGGGCTGAGTCTATCCAGCACGTATAACAATACACCAACGATGAAGAATGCAGCTAAGATACAACCCCAGACCCAGATGTTCAATGGCTCCAGGAAAGCAAAGACGTTTGTTCTTTTACTTGGTTTTCGAATCAAGATTCCTACGCCGTAACTCATATATGGTTTGGTGAAATCAACTACTTTTTCTCTGTCTGAATTAATTATCATTCCGGCAACCGCCAGATCTGCTTTCTGAAGAAACAAAACGTACAATCATGTTCAATGCAATAGAAACAGAAGTAGCACTGTTTTTCAGGTATTGCTCTACCTGTCATGCATTCGAAGACTGATAGAAATTAATAGAAATATGTCGTGTTTTCTCATTAATTAAATCTAAAAACGATTGGTGGTAAAGTTTCTTTGCAAATCATCTTTTGTATATGTTTTATTTTATGTCATATTAGTTTTATTTCGGGTGATAAATCAAATCAGTAAGCTATGTGGTTGTATCTAGTGAGTTTAAGATGTTCGTCATGATGTATTCCGGTAGTAAAATAACGATATAACAAAACTGATACGCACTCCATAGTAAACCTGTCCAATCAATCCATTCCATGTGCCATCGTCGTTAGTGCCACCATACTTATCATCAGGTGTCAAATATAAAGTGTATTTAAAATCTAGTTCTTTTGCAATCTCGTTTAACATATCGATACAGTAACCAGAATACTTGACTCCAGTTACCGTCTCTTCTATCATCACAAATGGTGCCTCCTGTGTAAACCATAACAAAACAATTAGCAATTATCTGTTTCAAATTAGTATTTGCCAAGCAATGCGTTTTTACTCAATTAAGCAGATTGTTGCGTAGTCAAGTTGCCTTGAATGTAATAATGTCCAAACATTGTATTAATTAAATTGTGATTTTGAAACAGAAATAAAGTATTGCGAACATCTTAAAAATCCATTCAATTAGAAATATTTATCTAAGCTTTGAAAGAACCTCGGAAGGATGAGTAATATCTTTTTTGATAAAATGTCACATATTTCTATTACACCATTTAATATACAACTTAATTTGCGACTTTTTAAATTACGTAAAAACAATGACTATACACGGGTGTACTAGAGACAATAGAAAACATTTCTTATGTCTTGTTTCTTCCCCAACTCAAACTGTGATGATTGACTTGGTGTAACTAAAAGCATTAACGTGCGGAGGTCGTCGCGCCACGCATGCGCGAGATATGGGTCTCGTATGAACATAGATGGCGTCTTTGACTGTTACGCACACCAACGAGTACAAACTGAGACGTTACCAAGCTTTAACTAGATAATTTGTTTGGTGATTGGAGGGTATCGAAGGGGTCACTGGCGGTAGTTAGTACACGTTGCGTGTACAATGTCAACACTCGTACTCGTAAGTTATATTAGTAGAGCGCATTGACCTGTGGGAAAATCATTGTTTATCAAATGTAAATTTTTCCGAGTTTTATTAGTGTATAGCACCATCAACATAATCGCTTTATCCTGTTGATTAGTAGAGTTGAAAATGTGTGTTTCATAGTTTTCAGAGGGGAATAACAAATATGATTATCTCAAATAACTTGACAAAAATTGTATAGTTAGCGATGTTTATGCTTCTGTATCTTAATAATAAACAACAGACTATGGTAGTTCGATGAAATGCGGGAAAATAGAGTCTATCGTTTAATAAAGAGTGCCCTTGCATATACTTACGATGATGGTGACGATTTTATATGACTTATTTCCCAACTGTGAACCCGCTCCTCTCATAAACGGCATATGTGTTAGGTTAAGCTTATTTACAGGATCCCATTGACCAATCTGTGAAGAATATATATAATGTTCTCAAAGCATTACTCTGTATGGATCAAATATAAGTATGTACTTCTATGGCGTTGCTTACAAAATCGATACCTGACATACATGCTTCGTGGAGCCATAAACGTTCAATTGTTTAATTGATTGAGACTTAAAAACCAACCTTCCAGCTGTAAGTTTTGTTCAGTTCACTCTCTAGACTAACAATCTCTAAGTTGATATTATCGTTATAGGTTGTCCCATTAAAATGAATTCTTCCAAGTAGACCCTGCGAGTCGACCTGTAAAGATAGAGAACAAGAATGGTGTAATGTCGCTGTTTGGTGATTATGTGGGTATAGGTGTATAAGTGTAAATATTTGTTAAAATACTAATTAAATTTATCTATGTGTATTTCGTAAATTATTTGAATTTAATGCATTGGAATCGTTCTTGTATTTATTATGTAAATTAGTCATGAATTAGCAAGCAATTCCATTGACCAATAATAACATGCATGGTGACAAGCAACACAACATTTCACAACATAAACCAGTCTGCAGTTGGCAAACTAAAGCTACTTGATTTAATTTTCATTGCTTAACTGTGAGGGCGTGTACGAACAACCCTCGTCGTTAAACACTAGCTGTGAAACTAAAATGCACAATGATGCACACAAACCCTATAAAGCGCGTTTTTGAACTTTTTGCCATATTGCCACGATCTACTTCTTTCTGAATTGTAACACGTGACACTGATAGGGTCAGTCCATCTCCCTCTTTGGATCATGTCGTTGATAGTGATCGCAGTGATTCGTATTGCGTCATACAAGTATCCGGCATTCAAGTTCAGCTGTGTGATAAGAATAAAAGTAAAATGATGTATTACTGAGTGCAAGTCTGTCGTCCAGTCATTGCAGTGTTGTATCAGCTATTCATTCCCTCTCACAGGTTTATACGTAACCACAGTTTACGTGACGTCACTGCCAGGGGCGGATCCAGCAAAATGTATTGGGGGGGTCTAAGCCTCGCTTAAAATTTACGGAGCGTAAATCGCAGAAAAGCTATGCGTAATCCAGATGATATGAATGATCCGCAACTGGTCACTGGGAAACAGTTTGGAAAATTGGAACGATGAATTATTGATTACTGTGTTTATATATATGTATGTAGTTACATTAGAACGGGCATTCACAGTGAGCAAACTAAGCTAATAAGTCACGTAATGATAATACATGCTTGACGAGAGACGACAAATAACATTCAATAATTACTTGATCGAAAACATAAGAAACTTGAAAAATGACAATCAAGATTTTCCCTGAAATACGGTGTATGAAAGGTTTCGTCAGCTACAAGCTATGACTTGAGCAAGTTCTAACAGAATTCATTTTCGAGGTTTTTGGTATCTCCGAAAAAGTGGTGTGAGACCTTGACTATAAAAACAATGCAGCATGTACGAATGTGGTACTGAGAATGTACGATTCATTTTTATGTTGTCTCATATTAGCAACATTACTTGCAAACATGCCACAGTTACTAACCTCCAAAGGCTTGAATGCTGGACTCAAAGCGTATGGCGTAGTTACGGTTGTTGATATATTATAACTCGACGACAGTGCATTGTGGGTGTAATTCGGATAGATCCGTCGCCAGGCTTCCAAGAAATGTCGAGACGTGTAATTAATTATAACTTCCTGACGAATGAGAGCAATGATTCCTGTACTCTGATTGAAGTGCTTCATCTCATTGTCGCTGATTTCCTACAATACACATATGACGTCACATATATCATATACAGCAGCGTTATTGCACGTGATAATTTTAATTAGTGAATCCATTATTGATAATTCAAGGGCGCACCATGATTCTTAAAAAAAAAAACTAGCAGGATTCGTTGTATTGCCATGCGTTCGAATGCTCCAATAAATAAATACAATGTTAGTTGTAAACTGTTAGGGGTTAGTTTAGTTATATGTTAAATCCCTTGATTTATTCACACTAGGATAGATTGCGCACCTATGCGAATTGAGCTTTAACCCAAATATTGAAAGTTAGTTAGTCCACACTATCAGACGACTAGTACGCATCGTAACGCAGTGAAGTACAGTAAGAGTCAGAGAGAATGACCGAGCAAGACTTGAAAATGTGATGAATTGTTTCCTTTTCACTTTATAACCCAGTGGAATGTTAAAATCATGCAAGAGTGGGGCACGTTTATTGCTTATGACTTGTGGAAATACAGATAAGCAAGCTCACATATACAAGCAGATCACGTGATGTCCCGATATCCTGCATTCGTGATGGTAACGGTGACCCATTCTGTTTTTTATTGAAACACACATTTCTTATATGTTGCGCCCTCTAGCGACGGGCTCTCTCTTGATGTGATTTGATGACAATGCAGCGTTAATGCTTTGTCCGTTAATAATTTTAGAGATTTATTAAAACCTTTAGTGACGAAAGACTACGCCACAAAGCAGTCTTCGAAAATCTGTCACAAAATCATCTAGTCGCTAGAGGGCGCTGGTTACAAAGAAAGTGTAGAGTAATTCAATTGTTGTTTTTGTTAGACATATGTATACGTATAATAATATAATACGACGATAGTATAGCTGTCACCGTCATGATGCAAGCACCAATCTGCTCAATTATACAAAAACTTAACCGTTTGACCCAGGAAAGCTGGACATACGTGTTGCATGCAGGGATGCATACGATAACAACTGCAGTGACACGTTCTTGCTGGCGACAATAAGCATAACAACATGTTGATAAAAAACGGACCTGTTGAAGCGGGGTTTGTACTGTATGATTTCTTGATATATAACTTTCTCTGACCCTGGATAAGTCACTCTAAATATATATATACATATATGTGTCATATATTAATAAAGGTAACATCAATTATAGCAACATATTATGTAACCAAATATGTGTTCAATGAATAATTGAATCAATCAATCAATCAATCAATCATTTGTTTGCTTTGATTATATTTATCAGCAAAACTGCATTTGCTAGAATAACATTTGTTTCGTTTTTTTAAAAAAAGAGTGTTCGCCTGACTATAGAAGGTGGTTGTGCCAAACCAATCAAAACAAAGTGAACGTGAAGCAGATCAACTTGAAGGTTGAGTGGGGTGGAGTAGAAGTTTAGCACGCGCAGTTCCACAATGAGACGTGACGTTTTATAACAGTATGTATGCAGTTCTAAATTACCATAGAATTCCTAATTGTGCGATATGTAATGAGGAGGTCGCTCGTTTTACCCAGCCTAGTATTCATCAGTCTTATAAAACATCATTATAGGCAGATTATTTATCCCGGGTGTTATTACCTAATATTGGCTAGCCAGAAACTACAATGAAGTGGAGCGTGGAATGCAAAGCAACCGTGGATCATGCATGCGACTTGTCACTCGGCACCCGGGAAACGCGATTCACATAGACGACACACAGACCATTTGCAAAACAATTAATGAAATTATGATTCATTCTTAACGTGACGTTTTTTACTGCATATTAAAATTAATATTTGCCTATTGCTGAATCTAACTAGCGCGCACGTTTATGCATGTTTGGGTGCATTGAAACATAATTCCTGGGTAGTGAGCAAATTACTGTATGTTCGTTTACTCAGACACTTGGGAACGATATTATACGTTTGTTTATTTGGTGACATGGATAGCAGATACAAGACTGTACGTCCGCACTCACGCATCTTGACAAGAGAGTGCATAATAACATTTCGATAGACTTGTAGGATTTCGACAGAAAGAGACACTTTGAAGTACACCGTAAACGTTGTACTTGATAATTCGAAGGTGGTTGATACAAGTTGTATTACACGGGTTTGTAAATCTTTCAGCTTCAATGGGATGAACGCCGAATGGGATGAAATCAAGTAAAGAATTAGTCATAAATTCTGACATTTAGATACTACGGGTGGTGCTAAGTACGGTAGTGGATTAAACGCATTACCTGTGTCGTGACAATCCAATGGTGGTCAGTCTGGGTCATACCAAATGCACTAGCCTGGAATACAAACAATAGTTGGTGGGAGTCAGTATTGGTAAAACTTTAACTCGGCGCACGTATCATATCAAATGTTTTCTTGTTTCCGTTGTTTCCAATGAAATAGCTTTGAAATTATTGCAACTCTCCGTATTACACATGCAAATATATTATTGTGACAAAGCACTTTTGGACGTAATTAAAGCGAGGGTGTCGTCACCTACGCATGCGTCAAATGGCCATAGCGTGTCATTGTTTACAAACAAGCGTTTACCCATGATCCTTTGCGTTTTTAAGCGCGTGTTGTTGTCGTCGCTTGTTACCGCGCGTGCGCAGGTGACGACCCTACCGTTTTAAGAGTAAGGGAGGACGTGAACGCATTGTTTTTATAATGTTTTAGTCTGAAGCGTAATTCAAACGCATGTGCAGTGATTCAATATACGTACTCCCAATTCAACCCACACGTACAGAGAATTCAGGTCCGTACTGCCAATTAAATTGGCATACACAATGAATCATGCACGTAATATAAATTAAAATCGCGTGTGCTGTGATTTTATGTACGTATTACCAATTCAAAGCGCAAGCACTGTGATTTCATGCACGTAGCACCAATTCAACTTGAAAGTATTTGCGCTGCAATTTCCTGAACGTAATACCGTCACTATCAATCCTAAAATACACTTACTTGGTCAAGTAAAGCATAGTTGTTATTTTTCTGACAGTAAACAATATAATTGTGTATCGTTGACGTCTTTGCTATGTGTAGTGGTTTCTTTACATTGAAATTATTTTCTGTTTGGTTCCAATCTAATTTTAGCAATATAACTTCCAGTGTTGAATCGCCTGCCGTTGCCAGACCAAGCAAGTTCTTGACGTTTCTATATGCTGCAATAAAAAAAAGCGAGTGTCACAATAGGACATCAGAAAGTGAATGTGAAAAAAACAATATGAAACCCCGGATGTACAGGATTTTAATTTAAAAATGTTATAGTCTAAAAGATCACATGAACCGTTTCATTATTCCATTGTATTCAAAAATAAGACCACAGAAGAGAACAACTACGAATTTGAGACACTAAGACAGAACAGTTATGAATATAAACTGGGCTGCTATACAAGTGAATACAAGTACTTCTGGTATTAGAATGTATCCTGAAAATGAAGGACGTCCGCGATTTGCAGAAATAGCATCATACCTGTTTCACTGTCGTAGAATATGATGGCCTCTTTCCAACCCAATCTTCTGATGACACCCAGGACCACGTGATCTATATGTATATAATTGGGTCGAATACTGAGTGAGAATCCATTGTTTCGTCGGATCTCGCAGTTATCCCGCGGTACCGCGATGTGTGGAATGTTCAGCTCCTCACAGACAGACTGAATCACTTTACTAGTGTCACATGACGTGGAAGACACAATAGCTGAATAATTGGCAGCGGCAAATGAACAAACTGAAAACGAACGAAAAAATGACAATATATAAATTACGTAATTATTATCACGTCATGAATGCGCAGTGGATGCTATTACTATTATTATTACCGCGGTCTAAGAATTGCTCCTGACCACATGAATTTTATTTCAGGAAATTGAAACGTGTACCAGCGGTGACTGGTATTTCGAGAGATGGAGTGTTACAGTTGAGTAGACTGGGTGAAACGTAGACCTTTCGCTTGTTTGCGTTTTTTATCTGTCACTCGTCAATAAAACTCTAACGTTCCTGAATATGTATTTTATTGTAAATGACGAATAACTAAACAATCCAGCAAATGTTGACATTTTTAAACGACATTTAAACATTTTATTTTCGTATTATTATTATTATTATTATTATTATTATTATTATTATTATTATTATTATTATTATTATTATTATTATTATTATTATTATTATTATTATTATTATTATTATTATTATTTTATTATTATTATTATTATTATTATTATTATATATTATATATTATTATATTATTATTATATTATATACATACTGATATCAGAAATTTAGTAAATAAATCAAACTATTTAATATATACGTACAATACATGCCGGCCGACAGGTGAATTCGAAACGTTCAAAGTTTTGAACAAAGTCCCTCTTTGCGTCAGATCGGTGTGAGAGAAGACGCCGACCTGCCGATGTCATATCAAGGGCGGTAGGCAAAATGTTTGCGTTAGAATAATCACAGACCCTCTAGATAGAGGGACTGTGTTATAATACTATAAATTTTGAAGCCTCCTCCTGAGTCATCCTGATAATTTACTTGTTTTCAATGTTTATTTTCCAATGATTCTATGTTTGTTTCTATAGGGTTTCCTGGAAATCAAACAAACTTGGTACAATTTTGGAAAGATGTGTACATTTAGAATTTGATTTGGATGGTGATTGCAACTGCTTGTTTGCTTCAGAGAAACAGTATTGAACCATACAATGAACAACCATTGCAAGCAATGTGTGCGAATTATTTTACATTTTATAAAAAAAAACGTTGATACCATAGCAGATGTTACATGCAACCAATTTTGCCGGTATATGGAAAGTATTGTATTTTGCTCTCCACACTGTCCCTCTATCCCGAGTCTGGAAACGGCTAGCGTTCTTTTATCTCGAATTGTGTTGCGGGTAAACAAATCTTCACACCCGGGCCAAGCATTGCACTATGAAATTTTGCGTTATTGAACAAAAACCTTTGACTTTATATAACTAATGACACCAATAAATAACAGTGCTTCAATTTGTTGGATATAAATAGATTTTCGTAGCACTGAATAGCGCACAGTGTCATTTCAAAACGTCGCCATTTGCATTTATGATCGAAAAGACCATCGATAAAAATCGTTCAATTTAACATTCATAAAATGCGGGGTGACAAATAACAAATCAGCTCACCGGTTTTTAATGATATGTTTCGATCATATATGTCAAAATCGAAGACGACAATTGGTTTCGCGCCGAGATGAAGGGTAAATAAAATAGAGTTCATTTCAACACGGTTACTAGTTACTAGTTACTAGTAACTGCGATTTCAATCACCCCAAATGTCAAACACGAAAAATGTCCGGGTAAAGGTATGATATTTTGTTGCGAAAATGTGTCGCTGGTGGTAAAATATATTAATTAAAGAACTACTCGCCGGTTAAATTATGACCTTATACTGATATCCTGATTAAAAAAATATGTGAAAAAGCACGAATTCTGGAATAAACAACTAAGTTGTAAAAAAACACATAGCACTGATATCAAAAATAGTGACAGGCTGTGTACTGATCACGTGACAATGCTTTTCCCACAACCGGCAGGCGCCTTTGCCAGGGAAAGAGGCCAATTCACACCGAATACAATGACCGTTTCCAGACCGGGGAAAGGGGGACTGTGCTTGAAGTCACCTTTTTTGGCTCACCCTATTTGTAACTATATAACCATTTACAGAGGTTTGTCTAAGACCAAAATAAGTGATATTTTAATGATCGATTATATAATAAATGCAATTTCTTGTGAGCTTCTATTGGATATGCGCTTCCAATAGAGCAACTACGATAACGATAGTTTTTAATAAAATTGAAAATTACTGGTATACGTCATCGTTTTCATTCTTTTATTATGCTTATGATGGATTGAAGTCACGAAATAAAAACAAAGATTAGGGTCATCGGACTATTATTGAGGAAAAGAAAGTCCAACATTTGCATGTTGAAATTATTTCTTCATATTTCAAAATTTGTGACTCATGGGGGAAATGAAATTGTTTCGTTGAGGGCGCACGTTACGAAAAAAAATAGATTGAAGGTGCTGGTCCCGCGCTGTTCTAACGATGGATTTAAATCATTAAGCGTACCTAAGCCCCTATAAACTATATAGACTATAAAACAAACATTATTTTACCAATTTGGTTAATTTTCTTACAATTACCTTCTGTCTTAGCTGCCGTTAAAACAAATTGACCGATTAACATAATAAAGTATTGTGAACGGACAGGTAAAAAGGTCTACTCCCTGAGCCATGTTCTAGTGATTCTTTAACTAGAAAATAATAATGTTTCGGAAAACCTAGCGTTCATTATCAAATGAATTTTCTCAGTAAATAAGCTTTTTATTTGCACATACCTAAAACAAATTTAACATATGAAACGCTTGAGTATCGATCTTTTTAAAAATCATCACGGTGTTGGTCCCATGTATATGGCATATATAAGTACAATTGGCGAACAATTAGGGTACGAGGTTTGATTGAAAACGAAATGTGTTGTGTCCTATGGGACTTCAAGACGGAGTTTTGCAATATTCATTAACAATATTTAAGTGCAAGGATTCACATTCATATTTATAAATGACATTGATATTAGTAAAAACTTTTGTGTTCATAAAATTTCCATTTGTATTACAAATTCGATTTTGATATTGTTAAATTTGCATTTATATTCGCAAAACTTTCATTTGTATTCATAAATCATCTATTAGTATTTATAAAATATGTGATAAGGGAACATATGGGCGCTATTTTGATAGAAATAATCTTTTTTGTAAAACCTCAATTTATCTTCGTAAACCTCCATCTGTATTCGTAGAATCATGTGCATACATGACAAGTGAACACAGAGGACGCTCTTCTTTATTGACTTCGATTTAAGACAGGCGGCAAGAGCGAATTAGCATTGTGTGCTTTGACAAACCATAGACTTATGGGTAAATGTTGCCTTTGTGGAACGGCATTTTATGCCGATCCAATCTACTGGTTTCCTAATTTCCTTTCGTTTGTGAGTCCGCATATGTCCTGGGCTTCGTTTGGTAGTGTACGCGGAAGCGTTAGTGTGCAGACCGGACCCTAACGCCAAACAAAATATCTTCTAGCGAAGACTGCATGCTAATAGTTACTCCGCAGCAACTTAGACTTGTTATACTTGTTAATAGAATTTGGACCGTTTATTTGTGAATAGGATTGCACCTGAACAGACGAAACCTGGGACCTATTTGTACACCACTGACGCAAAAATATGATGATTGATTTCGAAAATGCTCAAATGAGAGTTATGTATGATACAGTAAATGCACAGTCATCTGGGGGTATAACATCCAAATAAATCCATCAGTACATTTTGTTTCCAAATTTTCCATCGTTATTGCTATAATAATCGTCCATTTCAACGATTATGGCACACAGAAAACTGTACACTTGGTTACGTACAGAATGTGTAACTGCAAATTACATACACTTGACATCATGATAAACATATATTTCGCGTCATTATACGTAGCTCATGGCATGGTAGTCAACTAGTACAGATGGCGTTGTCAGAAAGCATATATCAAAGACCCATAATGTCTAATGTATGTACAAAGTTTTAACGAAATCCATACATAAACGACCGGGATTCGATTTCGTGCTTGATTTTTGAGGATTTTCAGCACAAAAATGGACACCATTCGGCCATTTTGAATCGGATCGTCAAACCAATACATTTGTATATCTATTACATGATGTATAATGACTATACACAATTTGAACATAATATATGACATGACACTAGAACCACATTCATTAAAAGAAAATGGCCGCCAGTCGGCCTTTTTGATACCGATCTGAAAACAAAATGACGGGCACCAATTGAAGGTCCCATAAGTTTGAACACAATCTATCCATTCGCTGAGATTCGGTTTCGGAATGCCATGAATGCTTGATTTTGATTATATTTCAGCACAAAAATGGCCGCCATTCGGCCATCTTGAATCAGATTGTGAAACAAATTAATGTGCACATGTAATGTATAAGATTATGTATGAGGTATGTGTAAAGTTTGAATGAAAACGGACGCGCGCACAGATGCACACACGGACACACGGACGTACGCACACTCAGTGGTCAATCCACAAGTCCCCTGCGTCCGAAAGAGGATTAAATATGGGCGATTGTATGTTAAACATGAGCAGAGGACCACGATTATATAATATATATCGGTGAAAACCACGATTATATAATAAATATCGGTGAAAACCACGATTATATAATAAATATGGGCCTGCTACACTAACAAACATAGGTATCTCGTCTATGCCCGCCCGTCTCCTATGCCTACTACCATATGTATGTTTTCTATGCCTGCTAGGCCGACGAACATAGATATGCCTTAGATGCTAACAAACATAAATATGTTGCCTGTGCTCACTACACTAACAAACACAGGTATGAAGTCTGTGCCTACTACAGTAACAAACCTTGATATGTCGCCTGTTCCTACTACACTAACAAACACGGATATTTCGTCTAAGCCTACTACACTATCAAACACAGATATTTCGCTTATGCATACTACACTAACACACACCGATGTGTTTCCTATGCCTACTACACTAACACATACCGATATGTTTCCTATGCCTACTGCACTAACACACATCGATATGTTTTCTATGCCTACTACACTAACACACACCGATATGTTTTATATAAAGTGGCG